TTTAAAATATACTAAAATGTAGTAAAATAAGAGTTACTCTGATTAATAATAGACAATGTTTGGATTACAACTGGGAACAGCAAACGGACCTATTGAGAAAATAACTTTCATCAATACAAAACTGAAGGAATGCTTCTATTTGTCTCCTTTGGAAAGTGACCAGAAGTATGGATTTTAATTCTAGCTTATCCATTTTACCAAAAAGTCAGCACATGGAATAAGAAGTACAAACACATGGCTTTTTAATGTTTGTGCAACTATTTAAGATGGGGAAGTAGGCAGTTAAACTACAAACAATAGTTACAGTAGGAGAGCTCTGTAGAGCAAGATAGCCTGATACTGCAAACCTTATTCAAAGAATCACAGAATCATAGAATAATAGGACTGGAAGGGACCTCGAGAGGTCATCGAGTCCAGCCCCCCGCCCTCAAGGCAGGACCAAGCTCCGTCTACACCATCCCTGACAGATGTCTATCTAACCTGTTCTTAAATATCTCCAGAGAGGGAGATTCCACCACCTCCCTTGGCAATTTATTCCAATATTTGACCACCCTGACAGTTAGGAATTTTTTCCTAATGTCCAATCTAAACCTCCCCTGCTGCACTTTAAGCCCATTACTCCTTGTCCTGTCCTCAGAAACCAAGAGGAACAAATTTTCGCCTTCCTCCTTGTGACACCCTTTTAGATATTTGAAAACCGCTATCATGTCCCCCCTTAATCTTCTTTTTTCCAAACTAAACAAGCCCAGTTCATGAAGCCTGGCTTCATAGGTCATGTTCTCTAGACCTTTAATCATTTTTGTCGCTCTTCTCTGTACCCTTTCCAATTTCTCCACATCTTTCTTGAAATGTGGCGCCCAGAACTGGACACAGAAGTATTCCCACAGAATTATTCATGTCAGTTAAGATTGCAAGATCAGGAGCTAGGTCTTCTGAATGATCATTAACACAGATATCAGCATTTAAACATAAATGCTAAAGCCCCAATCCTACAGTCAGACCCACAAAGGCAGAGACATGTGCCCACTCAGAACCACATCAAGAACTACATGTGCTGCTCTGCTGGAGCACACTGTCTTTGCAGGGTAAAAGTCTTTGGGAAAAAGGAACAGATTGAATCTTTCCACTATTATAACATTAAAAAAACAAAGTTATTGTACTGGTACAATATAAATGTCAAAACAAACTAGAATCCAGTGAGAAAAGAGGTGAAGGACAGACAGTGAAAACCTTTGATAACTCAGAACATACGCTCCTGAAAAGGCTTCCTTTGTAACTTTAACTTGCACAATTTGAAAGTGAACAGTCTTTAGAAAAATTCTGCAATATATCTAGCAACTATTCTATACCTACATGGGGAGGACCAGGACATTATGAATTATTTATTTTAAAGAATTAAATTATGCACTTATGTGTAAGGATTAATAAAAATCAAATTAAGTACTTTTATTCAATGCTGTTAAGACTTGCACATGAGTTTTACCTTTACACACTGTGAATAGCAGCACTGATTTCAATAGGACCCACTTACAGTGTGTAAAGTAAGTCAGCAGAAGTATTCACAGAGCAGCTGATTAAAATGTCACAGCTCTACAATGGAGCTTTGGAAATTTACATCAAATAATGTGTAAAAATAGGCACATGCATAAATGCTTGCAGGATCAGAACTGACATTTTCAGCAAAATGTAAATCACACATAGCAAAAATATATATAGATATATCTACACACACACACACACACACACACACACACACGAAATACTGGGGTGTATTCTTAATATTGTTAGTGTCTATAATTTTTCCAAAAATCAAGAATAAGTAGAAACTTTGTATAAAGTCATAGTCCCAATGGTTTCCAGGTGCCAGGGTCTCACAACAGAATAGTGCTCCAGAGGTTGGGTTATCAGACAGTGTAATACTTTGCCAGTAAAGTCTTGGCATGAACAACTGTTGATACAATGGAAGGCAATATATGGGTAAGACATATTGCTCTAAATTTACAAGACAAAACTAACAAGTGGCAAATCAAGTCCCAAGAAGTGCTCACAATGGGGAACAAAGACATTTACTGCATATTGCTACATAACAAATTGGTCATTTTGAAATCAGAAAATGGAAAATCAGGTGTCAAGCCAAGCATATTTTTGCTTGCAAAAATACTTCAAAGTTATTTGTACAAAGCAATTAATAAATATTTTAAAGTACACTGGGACAAATCATGGGCTCTATTGCTATTAAAAATCAAAGCTATTTCTCCTATGCTGTGCAAGAGGCATATGTCTCAGTGAACCCTCTTTTCAATTACAGCTACCACTCATGACTTTCCCCCGGAAATAAAAACTGTGCTTTTGTTTGCAGTTTCATATACTAGGATTTTAAACCAGGTTCCTGAGGAAGAATTATACATATTAAATTCATTACTTGCTATTATAAAAGACTGATAAATCAGGTCCTGATCCTGTAAGTAGGGGTTGAAATTAGGGATGTTAAATAATGATTAATTGAATAGCTGATTAACCTCATGAATTCTTAACCGTTACTCAACAGTTCTATAGTCCTTGGGGGTGAGGCTGGCAGCCAGTACGTTCTGGCCCCACTCCTGAGGAGCCCCCTGCCACTCCATGCTGCTGCCTCTGTATAAGCAGCAGGCCATAGATGGTCCGCGAGGGGAGCCAGTTTAAAAACCAGCTCCCCTCACGGACCACCTGCCTGTTGCACCCTGCTGCTGCCTCGAGACAGAGGCAGCAGTGCAGGGTGACAGCAGCCCCTGTCCCAAGGGGCTGTATGAGCTCCCAGACCTGGCACGAGTCAAAACTGAGCCATGCTGCCTGCCCGCCTGGCTCCTACTACACTTTAAATGCAGAGCTGCAGGGGGGTAGGTCCCAGACCCAGTGCAAACCAGGACAGGATAGGCCTGGGCTACCCGCCTGCCTGGCTCCTAATTCACTTTAAATGCAGAGCTGCAGCTGGGATAGGTCCTGGACCCAGCGCAAGCCAGAACTGAGCGGGGC